AGGTGTGAGTGTGAGCGCGGATGGTTGTTTGTCTCTGTGTGCCCTGCGATTGGCTGGCAACCGGTTCAGGGTGTCCCCCGCCTACTGCCCGAAGACAGCTGGGATAGGCTCCAGCGCCCCCTGCAACACTAGTGAGGATAAGCGGATCGGAAAATGAATGAATGAATAAACTTCAAATGGTGACCTTCCCCATCTGCAGTTCAGTAAGATGGTGGTCGTTAACAACCTTCTCCACTAATCAGGCTATTTCGTCATCAAAAAGCCCCCCTAAACTCCGTCAAGCTGGAGCGGCTGCAGAAAGAGGAAAAGGAACGACAAGCACCCCCCCCCTCCTCCCTGGGCCCTTCCCCTCCTCTTTTCCATCTTCATCTTCAGCATCACCAGCAGCAGACCCTCAGCTTCATCCCCGTCCTCTTCATCATCCCTGAAGAGCGCCACGTTTGGGAAGGAGAGGAGCGTCGAGAGCGCGCAACCAGCGTTCGTCTCGATGCCGCACCAACCCCCACCGCCTCTCAGACGCGCGTTCCACTCCAGTCCGAGGGGTTGAAGATGCAGGAGAAATGGCTGTGGGGACAAATGACGCTCAATCTTCTTTTATGACACACGAAGCAGTCTAAAGAATACAAGGTAGGACATTTATTTAGTTCCCACCTCATCCCCCTCGCACGCCCAAACAATGTAAATACGAACAACTGATAATAGTGTGTGGAAAATTGATTCCTGACTCCTCCTAGAAAGCAACGCATCCTTTTTTTTTGTTGTTCCTATACGCAAATCCACGGGGCTGACATTTTAAGTACTGGATAGTGGTTTTGCTTCTCGATAACAATAGAAATGGCTTTTATTAAGATTGTTACGAGCAATCGATAATTGCCAACGTGCGTTCTAATCGAGCGAGAGCTCAACTACACCGTGTAGGAGGCGAATAATAGCTTGTGGCTGCCCCCTTGTGGTCGTAATGTCCTAAAAGGCACGCAGAACGTTTTTTTTTTTTTTTGGGTGGTGTGCCCTGAGATCTTTTGTAATGTAAAATATGTGCTGAGGCTCAAGAAGGTGAAGGGAAACTGTTTTAAGTGAAACATCCCTGACAGAGGGGACGTCTGCTGTATAGAGTTCTCATCGAACACGCTGCCGCCTCATTCTGTGCTCTTGTTATGTAATGTCAACCCCCCCATCACCCTGAATCAGCCTCACACCACTTGCTTACGTGAAGCTGCATGGCATATATCCGTATACAACACACCACAATATTATGACCACTTGCGAAAATAAACCAAAAATGATGCAATGAATAGTGTCTCATTTTCACGACTAGTCAGAAAGGTGTTCATTTATTAATGTGGGTGGAGCATAGCAAAGTTGGGTGATCTTTTGGAGGATTAGTCCTAAAAAAAGAAGAAAAAAAAAGGTGTGTGAAAAGTCAAAAAAAATAAAAAATTACAGCCGGACACCAATTTCATAGATTGAAATGAAATTGGCTGGACATGTCTATTTGTGACAAAATGAAAATGATAAATCCATTTTGCAGGAAACATGATGTTGACTCACTTGATTTGCATGAGTGGGCCACAAAAAAAAAAAAAATGATGGCAGGGCGGATCTGGTTGAGTTTGACACATGCGCTTTATATCATTTTTAAAGTATGTCAGCAGCTGTGCTGTTTTTTATTTATTTTTTTTTTTGCGCGTGGGCAAGGTTGCACACAGAGAACACAAGTGAAGAAATATGCAAATATAGCTCTCGACTCCTCCAATTGGGTGAAGTTGGAATCACAGATAAGATGAGGAACCAAATTAAACAGAAGAGCAAACGTTATAAAATATACTAGCTTGAGAAAGAGTAATTACTGTACATACTAGAGTCTTTGTGCATTGGATGTATGCCTTTAAGGGGCGTGTCCTAATGAATGACAGGGCATTACAGTGCATTAGCTGCTCCAATTTTTTTTTCATTTCAGTCGAGCGGTGGCGTACCAGATGTGTGCTAATACAAATTTGGCCAAAAACACCAAAATTAAAATTAGATCAAGTGACTGCTCGGAATTCAAACTTTTTTCTCTTTGACAAGCCTGACTAAATGAAACATCCCTCCTCACTTCAACATGTCCCCAAGATGCCACATGATGGTACCGAAAGCACCAGCTAGACATTTTAAACCGTCTAAAACTGGGATCAATTTCGGTGAATTTGCAAATGCTAAACTGCCGAGCGTCGGCTATGAGATCCTTCCCCAAGCGGAGGGATGAATGGAGTTTGAGATCGACGGGCGCATCGATGCTGCGTCTGCTGAGATGCGGACTTTGTCTCGGTCTGTCCTGATGAAAAAGGGGCTGAGCCGAAAGCTCTCGATTTACCGGTTGATCTACGTTCCGACTCTCACCTACGGTCACAAGCTGTGGGTCATGACCCAAAGAACAAGATCCCGGATCCAAGCGGCCGAAACGAGTTTCCTCCGCAGGATGTCCGGGTTCACCCTTAAAGATGGGGTGAGAAGCACGGTTTTCTGAAAGGGGCTTAGAATAGAGCCGCTGCTCCTCCGCATTGAGAGGAGCCAGATGAGGGGGCTCGAGCATCGTATTCGGATACCTCCTGGACCCCTGGGCCCTGGCTGGTGAGATGTTCTGTGCACACCCCACTGGGATGAGTCCCCAAGGAGGACCCAGGACCTGCTGAAGAGACTAAGTCTCCCGGAAGAGCTGGACAAAGTGGCTGGGTTGAGGGAGGTTTGGGCCTCCCTGCTGAATTTGCTGCCTCGACATTACCCTCATATTAGCGGAAGAGGGTGGAAGGATGAACTGCGAATATTCAGGGGTTAACTGTACTGTATGTCTGTACTGTCCTAATGATCTCCCACTGCATGTCTTCAGGTTAGAGTTTGGATTCTTGAACCGAGATGGATATGTCGTCGCCCTCGCTGCCATACGGCTCCAAAAAGCGGGTCAAGATTCACCCCAACGCGGTGACGGTGAAGTACGCCACTCACTTCCCCCAGCCGGGTGACGAGGGCTACGACGACGCCCCCTCCTTCGAAGACTTCGGCGCCTTCGCCGAAGCTAACGTCGGGAAGAGGCTGGTGACCGAGAGCAAAGGCGGCAGGACTTTCTTTGGAACCATGGAGACCCAGGCCAAGCCGCCCGGCACCCCAAGGGACAAGGGGGTGGGCGGTCAGTTGGCCAGCTTCGGCGAAGCCAACGTGCTGGCCTCCAGGGTGACCTGGATGGCCCTTTTCGGGGCAGCGGTCGCTCACGGCTGCGTGGCCTTGATCACCCGTCTGGCGGCGGACCGCTCCAAGGTGCCCTCCCTGGAGTTGCTCTTCATCCGCTCGGTGATCCAAGTGCTCTCCATCCTGGTGGTCTTCTATCACCACGAGGCTCCCTTCGGACCCAAAGGCTACAGACTGCGTCTCTTCTTCTACGGCGTGTGCAACGTCATCTCCATCACGTGCGCCTACACGTCCTTCGCCATCGTGCCGCCCAGCAACGGCACCATCATGTGGCGCGCCTCCACCACCGTCTTCAGCGCCGTGCTGGCATTCCTCTTGCTGGATGAGCGTTTGGCATACACGGACGTGGTCACGGTGGTGGGCAGCGGGTTTGGCCTGTGCCTGGTAATGGTGCCC